TATATAAATATTATTTTTTATTATTTTTTTATCTTTTGATTTATATTTGACAGCTGTGAATGGACTGTCTCAGCACTTTGGTTTGTGAATTCTCAAAGAATATGAGGAAAATTAGTTTCAAAAGGCAAAATAGTTGGCACATCAGTCATAATACTGCAAATGTATTGAATGCTTCATTTGAAACAATCTCTCAAATAAGAGCTATATATGGAAAGCATGGTCAAACTGCACTGTTAAATGTATCTCACAGACAGAAATAGATGGGCAATTAACAGGGTCATTGATAAATATCACAATTCTGCAGCCTTTAATACAACAACCCATTTAAAGTATTGTAGAATTAATTTGGCATCTATGTGACCCAATCTGAATGAAAACTACGTGTGTTTGGCTATCTAAAGCTGGAATTTGTGGATAGGTTTCTATTCTGAAACATCTTGTTTTCAAAGCCAGTTTACAAAGGCTCATTTACCCTGGTATTAGAAGCACAGAACCTGTGATCCTAACTAATCAAAAGTATTATGGTCTGATGCACCCTTTCTCAACCACAGTGCCCTCTGGCTTTGTTAGGGGTGCCTTCAGATTTCGCTAAAGGGGGGAAACTCCTGATATGAGGGGTCTGTCTGCTTCTAGACAGGCTTATGGATGCACATATAGCCTCAATTAGGGCAGCTGTGTCTTTTTCCAACTGTTAAATATTGGGGAACCCATAATGGCTTGGTAGTCATTTTGTAGGTGTTATGTCCAAGATTCTCCTGCATAGATATTTAACAACCAATACATATGGCCCCTTTTGAATGACTAAGTTCACATTATGGCTCTCTCATGGTGTTCCAATATTTCAGGGTGTTAATGCTCACATACGCACAACTAAACAAATGCAAGAATGGTTTATGAATACTGGAATGGAGTCAAATTTCCACATAGTGCTTGTCTCTAAAAATAAATATAATGTAGCAAAATGTTGCTAGAAACAGTTTCAGACTTGTATTTCAGAAGCAGAGCTTCCCTCTTAAAGGCACATAATGTCACTACTCGCAAAGCATTGTGTATGTAAATATACATAGTGTATATGTGCAGCAACCTATGCCAATCCGATTTGTTATTTATGAAGTCATATTGCTAAGGGATGAAACCTGATTGGTCAAGAGGGTTGCTGCTCTTTGCCCTTTGCTGTACTGAATAAGTTTGTGTTCACTGTAAATATTCTTACTGTCATAGATAACAGCAGAAACAGCAATTTTTCTTTTACAGGAGTTTTAGTGTGATTTGGTCTGTTTACAGCTGAATAATAGTTTTAGAACTTCAGAAGGAAAACAAAAATGACATGTAGAAGAAAACAGTCGTAATGCTGTCGCTCAGACTCTCAGAGCTATAATCCAAATCCCTGGCTAGAATAAACTACAATACTGACTTGTTTACCCACCAGGGGAACACATTATTGCCTCGTAAAGAAACACAACAGTCCTTATTATTCGCAAGGCATCTAAAGCATAGCTCAAGGCAGCAACTTTATGGTTATATCAACCTGCATTATTTTTGCTGGATTGTGGCACACACATCCTTAGGGTGAACCACTGAATGTCAAGTAGTTAAACTCAGAGTTTTAAGAGAGAATATGTAGATCTGTTGGATAAAGTGTGCAATTGCTGGTCCCTCTGTTGGTTGGCACAGTAATGCTTTTGTGGATTTATTCACAGTTTTATGTTTCATTGGTTTAGGCAGCAGGAAAATATTAACATCATACCATTAATAACCTCCAACTGGGCCCATCTGTGTACCTCTGCGTCTGTTTTATGTGGCACTCGTGACAATAGAAATAGTTGCAGGTGTGGATTTTTTTCTTCTTCTAATAATTGAAACTTCAATGGGTCAGGCTTACTCCTTTGAAACATCAGGAGAAGACCATCATTGTACCCAGCTGCAAACCTATTGGAAAGCAAGATTGTTAGCTCAACAAGATTGTTTAAAGAGTTTTTTCCTGTTTTTAATTTAATGTGCAACTTCACTGCAGGGTACAAAAGGTACCTAGATGCATTGCATTTTTTGGTTCAGAGTCCTCATCTATGTTGGATTTTAAGCCTATAATTACACAGTGGGATAGTTACAACTATCTGTTACCTTTTTACTGCCCGGGTTTCAGAGAATGCAAGCATTTCTGGGACCCTGAGATCTAGAAACCCTGCAACTAAATATGTGCCCTTATGCTTGATAAACATTTAGGTTCCGCATGAAAGATAATTACACATATCAACACAACAACAGTTGAAAGTTTACTTATTACAATATATATTTATATAAAAATATAGGTTCACCCCCAGACTGGATGATAAATGCCAGATGAAAGGGGCAAACTGGTCTGCCCAACTGCCTCCCAACTGAGTCACTACATGGTTGGTGACTCTCGTTAACTTGAGGTGGAAGGTTCTGAAGTGAAATGACCTGTAAAACCCACTTCTCTCTAGCATTCACAAGAATCTAATAAATGGGAAAACCTAGCATGCGGAGCTACCATTTTTTATGCAGCTTGCAAGTAATATATTTAATCATATATTACTTATAACAGTGGTTCTCAACCTGTGTAACCTCAGTACCCTATTTGTCCTTGGTCATTAAGTCGTAACCAAAAAATAATTTAATGTTCGCGGTGATACCTAATATGTGTGGCGCAATCGTCATTCAAGTACACATGCATGCCCCACACGCACATGTTTATTCACAGGCAGATGGCAAAAGCTGAGTTGTTGGTTTTATTTTCTTTTACATTTTTATTTACATTTTTATCACTTTAAGTTTTCTCTCCATCCTGAATGAAATTGCCATGATCCCAGGTCCCCCAGAAGAACAGGGGACATCGAAAACTATTGTGGGTGGTTTTCGAGCAGGCTGCTACAAGTGATCTGGGCGGCTGTATAGTAGAAAACGAGGAGCAGAGCCCCTGCACAGGCTGAACTTTAACTTAATTATCAGGAGGTGCAGCTCCCACTATTGCTCCATGGCCGAAAGAGGTGAAATAGTACACTCTCTCCGCGGGTCCTATCTCTTCAGCAAGGGGGCTTGGGGGGAGAGGGGACTGTTTCATAAGACAAATGAGTCTCCTGCACGTTGTAAAAAAAAAGTCCCCTCTCCGTCTCCCTGCTGAATAAGGCAGGCGGGCCAACTCTATAGACTAAGGACGCCGCAACCCACTAACACTGGGGTTGTGACCCACTAGTTGAGAACCAGGCACTTATTAGTAATATATTATGTCTACACTAGATGAAAGGTGTGCTATAGGATAATTTCTATACCATGAAGTTACAAATTCAAATGGTATTTACGATTACCTATTTATAATAGAGATCTCTTTGCCATGTTCCTTTTCTATAATATACTCTGTGATATTGCAGCATAGTAGAAAGTGTTTGTGCGCAGAGTTACTGTTGTAGTCTTCCTGTTATAGTGGTTTTTACACATGGGCTAGCTTTGTTCAGCAGTAAATTTTACACAGCCCAGATATTGCTCATAGGAGACATGTCTGCAAATCCTGGCCAAGTAAAAGTAGCTCTTTTTCAAGCAGTGTTTTATTACCAATAGCAGGGTTTGAAGAGTGGGTGGAATTTTATGCCGAGGAAGGATTAGAATAGTCTTCTGTTACAGTTTTTTTTTACCTGTACTGGAACCATTTCTGTCTTTTTCCTGCAGTTGATTTCTCAGCAGTGTGCTGCAGCACTTTTTAGTGGTGCTCAGATAGTGTTGTTACAAGATAAACCATGCAAATAACTCACGCTATATCAGCTTAATTGGGAGGGATTTTACCTCTGTGCCTTTCTAGCTACAACATCTGACATCTATAGATGATATGAATGCATATTACCTGTCAAGAAGGCCATGTGTTACATGTGGCATTGGGTTGCCCTGCAAGTTAATCATATGATTGTGTGGTTTAGAAAGCAAAATTTGTCACACTAACAATTTAATGTTTTTTCTTTTATTTCTAATCTGTATAGCAAACAACACAGGAATGCACAGGCGACAAATATCTGATCTTTTAGACCAAAGCATCCAGGTCCATTCTCAGTGTTTTGTCATAACAGCGGACAACCGGTTCATTTTAGTCTGTGGCTTTTGGGACAAAAGTTTCCGTGTTTATTCTACTGACACAGGTAAGTTTGGTTTACGTAGATATTTGACTCCCTGTTAAATATATCTGCATGCATAGACTGGTTATCTTGACCAAACTGTTGGGATGGGTAACTTTAAAACCCAATCTTGGGTCTGTTACCCTGTAGGGATAAATATTTTCCCTGCCATGGGTACCTACATTCTGTTTGATTTTATGATTTTATGGTTTTATAAGTCTTATAAAATTGTAATTAACATGCTACACAAATTAATATTGTTGTGCATCTTATACAGAGTATCTTTCTCATCTTACCAGTTTTCTTTTGACATGCCTTTTAGCTCCTTCATACTACCAGTGCTGGACTATGCTACCTAATGTAGTCACAATGCAAGGTCAAGCCAAATACCATTGTTTTCAGTGGTGCCGCGTCTCATCACTGCCTTGCATTCATGTGCGCTTAAACAGAATGGAAAAAGTTACATTTTATTGCAGTGCATTGGAAGGATAGAAGTAATAAAAGCAAAACAAAAAGGAGGGAAAGCTGCATAGCAGCGCATGTAAAAATGCAGTGCATTGTTAAACTACATGCAGCGCATGTGTTATGTACACATAAATTATTAAGCTATAAGTTGAGCAAGTCATTGTGGGCTGTGTGACAACACAAGTGTATCTGTATATTCAATGAAATTGGGATCTATGAAAATGTACTCCACCTGTTGGCAGAAAATAGGGATGCAAAATATTCATATGTGGTATTTTAAATTTACCTGTTAAGAAAAAAAAAATAACGTTTTGTTTGTTTTATCTTTTTTGAGAGGGTTTAAATTTGTTGGCCAGGTTTGGAAGCCGGGAGCTTCATGGATGTAACAGGCCATCAAAAGACGTCCTGTTGGTCCCACCCACTCGCGCACGAGCGGGAAACTGCCCAAATTTTAAAACAGGCAGTGATGCCTGTTTACATACAAGCGATCCGCCGGCTATTGAGCCGGCGGATCGCTTGTATAAGGTGCCGATCGGTGCACCCCCCCCCCCTCCGCTGTGCCCGGTGCGAGCCTGGGACCAGCATGGTAGCTCTGTGATGGGATCAAAGGGTGATCGGTACACGATTTCCCTCCATCCCCTCTCCGCTGTCAGAATGTGGAAGTGATGTATATTTGCTTTCACATAGAGGATGTCTTAGCCCCCTATGTGATGATAACGTTAAATGGAAAAAAGTCACACATGAAAAAGAATTTTTAAAAAAACAGAAAAAATTCCCCACCCATACATATGCGCGTGTAAACATGCGTTGGGTGCGCATAGCGTGAAAATGATGATTGCGCCCATTTTGCAGTACATGTTACATATCTCCGCGAACGTCGCAGTAAAAGCTTTTAAAGCGTCGCCTATGGTCAATTTTGGGTATGGTAGTTTTTTTTGCGATTTCGCGGGTGCGCGCAATTTTGAGGCTTGACATGTTTGGTGTCTATTTACCTGACGTGACCCCATCTTTTATATTTCACCAAAAAGTTGGGTAATTGTTTCCTAACATAATGTAGAAAAAACATTTTTTCCCAAAAATTTTCAGTAATTCCACCAATAGAAAACTCTGTCCCCCAAAAATGGTATAAAATTTGTTTCAGTACTGTGTTGCATGACAGAATAATTGTCAAAGTACCGCAGCGCTGAATACTGAAAAATGGCCTGGCCAGGAAGAGAGTGTAAACACCTGGTCTTCTAGTGGTCAAAAGAATATCATATTCTTGTGATTTTTATATAACATAATGAAATGGTAAAGGTAAAAGTCAAGGTCTGCATTTTACTTCAGGACTTTTTTATTCTCCTTTCAACGCTACAGAAGCATTGTATTTACAATGATCTGCTACAAGTGTGCTGTGTAGCAAGGTTAGCGGCCCAGGAGCTGATCATTTCAGTTCCTGGGCTCAGTGCTGGATCCTGGCTGCAAGTTCCAGCCTACATGCTTTTTAGAATGCCATTTTAAAATCACACTGGGATGAATAACTGCTGTCATAGTTCTGTTTTATAAGTGATCTGGGTACTAATATTCGTATCTGGGTATTAATATACACACATATGTATCCCAATATGCAGTTCATTTTATTTTACTCAAAATATGGTACTCGGGATAAATAGGAGAAAATTATTCAGTGAAAATATTTAAAATGCTATTAAATATACATAAAACTGCATTAAAAACATTCCCATTTCTCTGTTTTTATTCAATATATTCAGAATAGTTTTATATTTCTAAAATATTTCCCATATACACCAAAAAAAGTGTGAAAATCAATTTGGCATACAAAGTGGTTAAGAAGTTATTGAATAAACCACTGCATACCATAATGTAAAAATTTGGTCTGGTCATGAAGGCTTTGATTAACACAGACATGATAGGGTTAAAGTCTTTAAGGGCTAGTATACGGGGTCATTTAAAAACAGATTGAGATCACTGTGTGCTTTTATTCTTCCACACAGGTCAATGTGAATGCGCTGCAAAAAGCTGCTGTATGCATCTCAAACAACCATGTTCATTACCAGCCCTTAATGAATTTTACTTCCAGTTTTTTTTCATGTATTCCTTTCAATGTGTTTGAAATGATGAAACTGCCATCCTAGTGTAGAAATACATTAGAAGTATGGATTTGGTGGCAAATTTTATTTGCTTGGCTAAATGCAATCTAACAAAAAAGAGCCACATGCATTTAGATTTTTTTTTTGTTACCGTATTCATCTTGACATGTGGGACACAGGATTAACACGTCTGTGAAAGCTGTTAGAAAAGAAACTCTACCGTGTGTTTCTGATTGTTTAATGGCTCCAGCTCTTTTTAAATTCCCAGGGTTTTCTTTTTCTTACATTCCCAGTTTGGTTGGAGCCATACACATTCTAGCCCTCTTGTGACAGTCGGCATCCTCAAAGATCACTAAGAGTGGGGTAGAATATACTTTTGCTCTTTCTATCTGTGAGCCCAAGGAACAGGGCAAACACATGCACAATCCATGTAATGTATAGCAGCGCAGCGCAATAAGTGTTCAACTCGATTATATTCTATCACTTCTGGATGAAGGGGCCCTTTTCTTTTTGGCATTCCTTGTTTTGTTTTTATACTTGTAACAGGAAATTCTTGTGGCGTAAATCATTTTTTTAAAATTTATTAACGGGGCCAATACTGAAAAGGCATCATAAACCCTCTCCTGGCAGGGGGAATTATTTTCAGGCGGTCTTTTTTATCCAGCAGTGCTAAGTGCCTGCGTCTGTTTTCCTTTTTCTTCTTTATTTCATTTTATTTGCAACAGCGCTGTCAAATAAAACTGCATAACTAGAAAATGTGTTCTGTCAAAAAAGGGGAAATCCCAGTGCTTGAGTTAATGCAATATTTTCTGTATTGGCATAAGTGCTTATCTGATACAGAATAAATACTGTGGCAAAAGCAGTAGTGGAGGGAATCAACATATATTTTTTTTATTGTAACTGAATTATCCTATGCTATGAAATGGTAATTTTTTGTAATTATCATTGGGACCAGTAGACCCACACCTGCACACAAAAGTATATATTTGGCCTTTTATGTAACTGCTTATGCTGTGAAGCATATTTCTCTGTGTTAAGATACCCATACACCTTACAATTATTGGGCAATTTTCGGCCGCGATCTGATTTTTGTCCAAAAATCGGCCAGTTGATGGGAAGTGCACAACTGCAATTACTGTACAACTAGCCGATTTTAGTCGTCGTTCAAGCAGCCTAGAAAATTTTCATCGAGTTGGATGCAAATTGATGGATTACTGGCGTTTTTGTACAACAAAAATCACATGATGAAAACTGCACATACGCAAACGAAAGTCGGGTCTTTTGACAAAAATCGGCCAGCTAGTGGTGCTGACGAACGATGATCGCAAACTACATTGGGCTGTTTGAACAAAAATTGAACAAGGGTGCGATGTCGGGACAAAAAAAAGTTGTACAATGGTTGTAGGGGTATGGCCATCTTTAGGTGTTGTTTTTAGGTTGTAGTAAGCTGACCCACTGGTTGTTGGCTGAATTGTCTACGGGATGTAGGAATGAAATGAATGGATGACATGATGGGAAATTTTGTTTTGGGGAAATAAAAAATCCCTGCCATTCTATCTTCCATTTAAACATCTTATTTTAATTTTTTTTTACATTACGTTGCAATCACAAAATCTTTTCATTACTTACACAAATAACTTGGCTTATAGCCCTGAAACTCTGCAATAAACTTGAAAAAGAAAAGGCTGTTGGATATTTAATTTTCATACGTTTCTTTTTTTCCTATGTGTCTTTATAACCATGACTAACTGCTTTATTTTGATATACATTTACCTTTGTTAATTTAATAAAATTTGTTCTGGTTGCAGGTAAACTAACACAGGTGGTATTTGGACACTGGGATGTTGTGACTTGCCTGGCTCGATCAGAGTCATATATTGGAGGCGACTGTTACATCCTGTCAGGGTCGCGGGACGCTACGTTGCTGCTGTGGTACTGGAATGGAAAAAACAATGGCATTGGAGACAACCCAAACAGTAAGAAAAAAATAAACGTTATTTTTCTGAATCAGTTTAAAGTTGTACTCCTGCATTGTCACCTTGTCACCCTGGTGCAGGCGGCAATCGGCCACCCAAAACGCAATGTGCATTTATGGCCCACTTTTATAAACGATCAATTACTAATGGTCCAGGACAACAAGGTGCAGCCAGTGCTAGAGTGAGTGCATGCAGGCAGGAAGTAGCTAGAAGATATCGGTAGCAAAAAGCAGTAATGGAAAGAAACTAATTGGCAGTTGTTTATGATACACAGGGCTTTATCAAACTAAATGTAGGCTTTATCATTAATGTGTTTCATTTACCATGCCTGCAGTTAGGTATAACTATACTGCCAGGGTTTAACAAAGCCCGGAACAACAGTGTATGAATGTAATATGTTTCATAGTTCAAATATTACCATTTTAAAATCCTTTTTCTGTTCATATTATTTTCGGTTATGGTTTCCTTCACTTGTTTGTGAGTAACTGGCCTGAAACAGGACTTGTGATGTGCACACGTATGATCAATGTCAGTAATAAGTTAAATAGGAAAGCAAGGATAAGAATGGCAGCACCCAAGCCTGCACCATCAAAATCAAGTCAGCAGTGGCAGCTCCCATATTTCTGTCTTGACGTATTCCCTTTTAAGCCCTGTTGAAGTTTTACATAATGTTCGCTAGCTGAGGTGAAACCTGAAATATAATGTCTTACTGTTGTAGGTTGTTTTATTACTCTCCAGTGCAAGATCCTTTTCCCAGCACTCAACTGCAGAGAAAACTGCTGCTTTCAGTGTGGAAAGGGGTCCAATACCCCTGCTGAGTTACAGCCAGAGCCCTGGAATTAGCAGAATGTGTGAGCTTTCTTTCTGGGCTCTATCTGTCCCTCAGCAGTGTTTCTGTCAGACTGCTGCAGAGAGGCCACTGCTTCCACACAGAAAGCAGCATTCCTCTCTGCAGCTGAATGACAGGGAAGATGCATTTGCACTGTGCTTTGCCTGCTGCTCTTGCATTTCTGCTTGGGGGCATGATTTTAACCATAGGTTTATATGAAAAGCAATAATTAAAAGGCAGAGGATGTGTTGTCTAGTTAGTCTTAGGAAAGTAGATCTAGGAAAAAATGTCCATTGATTAGACCATTGCACTTTAAAGCATAACCTGTAACTGGATTTCTGAATGAGGCCTATAGGGCTGTAATGAAAAGCCTTAAAACACTAGTAAGCTGTTTAGCGATGTGTCTACTGGTGATTTGATAGATGGCATAATTAACAGGTTCACAGTGTTCTGTTTTGTTTTTTTAAATAACTCCACTTTTATTGCAAATCCCATCAATGTCACAGTTTCTGTATAAAAAAAGTTGCAGATGAGTTTTCTTTCTGCAACTTACAGGTCCCTCTTCTGTGTACATCCTGCAGTGCTGAGGGAGGCAAGAGCAACTTTTCTTTAGACTGAATGGCTAGCCCTTCTCTTACTCGGAGCTCTATCTTAAAACAGCTTCTTCTTTAGCATAGCATAGTGTACACTGAACCAGGCACCTATAGGCTACAGTGAGGGGAGTACAGACATCTCTTCAGATAACATACAGACCCCTTGTACAGGCTTTAGGGTGTGAGGCATCTAAGACAATTGCGTTGCATCCTGCTGTGGTAGACTCTAAGGCAGTTAGAAACCACTTATTCTTATATTGAGAAAGCTAGCTACAACGAGGGAAAGCAATCCAGATCTGCCAAGCTCACCATATTAAAGGCCAACTCCAGCCAAAACCTTTTTAAGTTTTTGGATACAGTGGGAAAGTTTGACAACTTCAACTTTAACTACTCTCTCTGTCCCAATACATATTTATCTTTTCTTTCTCTCTTCTGCCTGAAAGCTGTCTCCTGACAAGAAGTGAGAGGAAAACTCCGTCACATGACACAGATAACAATACAATCCTGACAGAGGTTCTATCTCTTCCTTAATTATTTGTTCTTCTGCTCATTTCTGTTTTGTTTAAACAGAAATATTACAGTTCTAACAATTCCACACACTGTGTTATACTAGGCCAGACAGTTTAATCAGTGGTTTGTGGACCATAAATGTGGTGCCATAATAGCTTTTTGTAAACAAAACTTAATTTACTTTATGTATGTTTTTTTTTTTTTTTACTGGGTTTTTTTTAATTGCTCTTTCATATTAATTTAAAAATGTGTTTTTCATTTTGCAGAATGTTAGTGTACCCCTTGGCAAACTTCTTTTTTTAGGTTTTGGGTACAGTGGGGAGGGTTGGATCCTGTTTTTTTTTTGTTTTTATATTTAACACCGAGGCAGAAAGTGAGGGGAAATCTAAATTTTACAGTTGTCACCAGAACACAAGGTAAAGGGAAATCTTCCAAAGGGAACAACTGTTCGGCTTACAACTAGGGATGTCCAGATACCAAGTACCGTACTCAGTACAAGTACAGATACTTTTCCAGCTCCAAGACTAGACTAGAGAAAAAGCTAGGAGGCATTTTATAAGACCATACGGAGCTCCTGGGATTTGTACATCGCTGTTTTAATGTATAGTTTTTTTAAAAATAAATATATATAAAGGATGCACCAATACCTTTTTTACAAGTACTGATACATTTTTGTTTTTTTTAAAACAATACATACTAATGATTTCAGGACAGTGGTGGAGCACCAGAGCCAGGTCCCAGCTTCAACCGCTGCAACCCTCGTAGTTCTCGTGAAAATGCCAAGTATCGGCACTGGTATCTGAACATCCCTAGTTACAACTGTCTAAGAGAGGAATTCCTATCGCTTTAGGAGATTCCATCTAACTTCCTTTTGCATCTCTGGTGCAGGAAGTGAAGGATAATTTCCAGTATGGTACACTGACAGAAAAAAAAAACCCCTTTGGGTTTTTACCTTGCTTACTCTGTCCACAATTAAAAAAACATGTTTTGGCTATACATAGTTTTACTGTGAAAAAAAATAAGTGTTTATCTAGTTTGTTTCTTGTAAACAAACATTACATGTTGGTACTGTCAGAAATGAATATCAGCTAACCAAAAATGACTACAAAATTCACAGTCTGGTTCAAAACTTCCTAAGGAGAAGTATATATTTATATGTCCAAACCTTCTCCAAGGATGCAACCCCTCAGTGCTGTATTTCATTAGAATATAAAAAAGACATCCATCCTTTTCCCTGTGTGGCACTTTGAAACAGGTTTAATAACATATAAGAGGCTTTTAGAATTTATCTCACGCAGGGATATTCTAATATGTTTCAATGTGTATATTTGGTTTAACTTTGATATCATATGGAGAAAAAGAAGCAGACCTTTGACGGCACATGCACCACATTTTAGGAAGCAGGTCACAGAGTTCTTTGACAGTGGGCATTTTTTGTGAAGACGGACAGTTCTTCCAGTTTCAATACTTTTTTTGCAATCTATATAACATTGCAAGATATGGAGAGATGGAAGTAAACATGCTGTAATACAGGAAGAGAGGTATAGTGTACAGACTCTAATTACGTGCAATATGCATAACAAGCCAACAAAAGTACTCCGATTGAGGCAATAAAGGCAAATATCACAGTATTTTGAAATAGAACTACCGTGTATTTGTTGACCTCTTGAATTAGGGCAAGCATTGGAGAAGGGGATATTGTATGTTGTGGGATACTACAGAAGGGTGGTGGGAGTGAACCAATGTAAAGAGGAAAGAAGGAGAGAGAAAAAAAATAGGGGGTAGCAGAGAGGGGAAAAAGGGGGGAAGAGATATTTCTGAGAGGTAGTTAAAGAAACATTAGAGAAATAGAGTGTGTTCTTTATGTTGAGTTGGTTACATATTTAACAGGATACAGTCAATATATAAAAAAAAAGTACATAGGCGCAACAAATAAGCCACCAGAAAATATGTGCAGAACCAGTCTCCTCTTCCTAGATTATTTTACTAGTAATACTTGAGGTTTGTCATTTACCCATATAATTGATTTGCACATATTATTATTTCTAGATTTAGAACTTTCTCATGAAACAAGCATATTTTTTCTTGAAATGATGTTAAGCTCACTGGAGCAAACTCTTATTTACATCTTCAGAGTTGCCATCACCCATTGTGGAAGAGCAATGTAACTAAAATCCAATGTTGTAGACTCTAAAAAAAAATTGTATTGAAAAAGAGGGCGATATTAGACAAAGTACCATTTACAAACAAGTTTTTAGATCAAAGGTATCCACATGAAATTATCACTCAAGCATACCAACACCTTTTGAAATCTCCCCCCAAAACTGAGAAACAGAAAGATATCGGTTCTTAGAATCTACATTTTGTCACCCAATTAAACTACAGATATAGGGCCGTTGAGCATGTAATATACTGTTTCAAGTAACTGAAAAACACAGTCCACAGCACAGGGAACGAGAAGCCTTGTTGTGACTTGTATAGGAAGTAATTCTTCAATCAATGTGAAATGTGACTTCTTTTGCGACTGAAAAACAGAGATTGCAGCAAAGGGAGCAAGAGTCTCGTTTTGCCTTCCATAGCAAGTCATTCTTTTTCAATGAATGTGAAAGTGAATAAAGAAGCACTGTGTAAGTCAGAACCTTGCATCTGTTCCGTATGCCGTGGACTGTGTTTTTCAGTCTGAAAAGGACTCTGCTGTGAGCATGCCTGTATGGCCTATTGTGTTTTGTTTTTTTTTACTCTCACTGGCCCTGTAGCTGACACACCCCTCCCACTTCTTAGCTAGGTCAGTTCCGGTTCATATCCCAGTGAAGCAACAAGGGGGCATGGCAGCTGATCTCAGCCTGGTAACTCCCATAGATCGACCTTCTTTGTAGGGAGGGGCAGAAAAGCAAGAGACCATACAATAAAAGATCAGAGTTTCTTCTAAAATACATTGATGGATCATCACATAGAGATGTATTTATGGATCAGTATTGGAATTTTTATTAATCATGAGAATTCTTCTTTAAAGTGGTCCTATGTTGACAAAGTAAAATAAAGCAACATTAAGTCTTGATGAGACAGATAAAGTGTAATAAAGAGC